TAATTTATGGTCTGCCAGAGGTCTTCAAAGGAAAACTTAGTGAATTCTTTTAAGATATTTTACTAATGCTCTTAAAAAAATCCAAAACATAATTCTCTCTTCCTTGTGACTCCCACACCTACCCCTCACCCCCTTGTAACAAGGAAGTGCACAGAAGCAAACCAAATCAACACAATGGCTGGATCTGATGAAAGCATGCCCCACTCTGTACCTGTGGCCCACCACTCTTTGGGGGGGCTCGCCGGTTACAGCGTCATTATGATGACCGTTGTCTAAGTGGTCCTTGGAATTGTCAAATCCACGATTTGTGTAAAAAAAAAAAGTTCTTAATTGTGTCTTTGGTTTTTTACATCACTATAGTTTCCCACATTATCCCTTCCTCTCCCTACCACCAAAAAACCCCCAAAACATCGGCGTAACTGATCAGTACTTTGGAAATTGCATGACTCAGTGAATGGTTATGAAAGCTCTGAGAAGGCTGGAAGGGGTGATTGACGTTCAGTGTGAACTGTCTGCCTGCTGCTCCTATGGGCTGATTGTGGCTCCCTACCCCTGTCCCTGCTTGCACTGCTCTGTGTGACTCCGCCCCTGCCTGACCCCTAGGACCTCAGCTCTGGGACCCATCCTCTTTTTTTTTTTTTTTGCTTTTTGGTGAGACAATTGGGGTTAAATGACTTGTCCAGGGTGACACAGCTATTAACTGTCAAGTGTCTGAGGCTGGATTTGAACTCAGGTCTTCCTGACTCCAAGGCCCATCCTCTTTGCCTTACAGATTGGCTCTTTGTGGTCGTCGTCGTCCTAGCTGCCTTCTTGGTCTTCCTTCTCTTGGGCATCTGCTGGTGCCAGTGCTGCCCCCATACATGTTGCTGCTACGTACGCTGTCCTTGCTGCCCGGACAAATGCTGCTGTCCTGAGGCCTGTAAGTACTGATTTGGGGGCCTTCATTGCCCCCACTGGGTGGAACCAGGCAGCAGCAAGGGTGAAATGGAGTATTGGAAACAGTGTGTATGTGTGTAATAGATGTGACTTTTCTGCATCCTGTAGAGAAAGGAGGTGTGGGTTTGTTGGGCTGAGGTCAGTTTCTGAGAGGAGGTAGTAGTATTTTTTGGTGGCCTGTTAGATTATAAAGTGGTTGGGGTTTGGGGGCTCATTTCAAGGATAAACTCCCAGACCATTTCTTTCAGTCATTTCAGTTGTGTCTGACTCTCTGCAAGACCCCATTTGGGGTTTTCTTGGCAAAGGTACTGGAGTGTTTGTCATTTCCTTCTCCAGCTCATTTTACAGATGAGGAAACTGAGGCAAACAGGGTGAGGTGACTTGCCCAGGGTCATACAGCTAGCAAGTGTCTGAGACTGGATTTGGACCAAGGGAGATGAGTCTTTCTGACTCCAGATCTGGCACTCTCTCCAGTATGGTGCCACCTAGCAGCCATTAGTAGGTGTCCAGAAGAGGAATGAGCTTTTTTCAATAGGTAGGGAGATTTTCTGTCCTGTCCTGGTCAGGCATGTTGGAGAAAACTGGATTCTTGATTCTGTGATTTTGGTTTTGTTCGCTTTTATACCTCAAGCAATTATAAATAACTTAAATAGTAGCTTAGATCATAGGTGTCAAACACGTGGCCCTGACCAGCTAGGTGGTCCAGTGGATAGAGTGCCAGGCCTAGAATCAGGAGGGCCAGGGTTCATATTAGGCCTTGGACACTTGCTAGCTGTGTGACCCTGGGCAAGTCACTTAACCTTGTCTGCCTCAGTTTCCTCATCTATAAAATGAGCTGGAGAAAGAAATGGCAAACCACTCCAGTATCTCTGCCAAGAAAATCCCAGCGGTCATGGAAAGTCAGACACGACTGAAACAACTCAACAACAACAGACTAGATTAAAATGTAATTGGGAAATATTTAACAAAATTATTAAAAATCCAATAAAACGGAAATGATGTTACATTTTAAAACAAGTCAATTTTCTGCCTGCAGGGCTGGGTTAGGTACAGCTTAGGTACGGCTTAGTGGCCCCATTTCTATTGTTTGAAACCCCGTTTTAAATTATCTGCTGGGGGCTGGGGGACTGTTATCCATTGATAATCCATTTCTTATTAGATACCAGTCCATCAGTAAGCATTTAGTAAGCGCCTACTGTCTACTGGGTGCTAGGGATACAAAGACAAAAAACAGAACAGTTCCTGTCTTCAAGAAGCTTACTTTCTTTCTATCCATGAAAACAATACATACACATAATATACATAAAGCACATAAGGTAACTCATTTGCATAGAGTGTTCACTCTTCACCCACCACCAGATCCTGCTGCCTGTTTCCGCTTCTCCCCAGTTACCAGTGCTTCCCCCCGCAAATCACCTTGTGTCTGTTTTGTATATTTGCACTCACGTGTGCATGTATCGTCTGCCCCAGCTAGTCAACCTGTCAGCTCGAGGGCAGAGATTTTTCTTTGTGTCACGCTATCCCCAGCCCTTGTAGGTCTTCAATGCTCGTTCCTTAATTGAGGAGGGGGGATCAGCAAAGACCTCTTAGAGGAGGTGATGCCTGAGCTGAGCTTTGCATGAAGCCATAGTCTTCCTTTTACTGGCGCCATTTTTCTTCCATTCCTAACACGAGTGGTGGAATGGATCTCTGATTATTTAGTCCAGCTGTCTAACTTTACAGAGAAGGGAAGTTGTTTATCCAGGGCCACCCACTGAGTCAAGACCTGTAGTGGCTGTTCATAAGAGCCATGTTCGTTTTCTACCACTACTGCCCATATTCTTAAAGGGCTTTTGTCAAAAAACTGACCTTCAGCCGGTGGCAGTGAGGACCTGGGTAGAGGGTGTTAGCCTCATTTCACAGAGGGGGAAAACCAAGGCATGGACCGTTGAAAGGTCACACAGTCATTAGGAGAGGCAGAATCAAGCCAACTAATTCCCAACCCCAACCAAACCCACTGAGTCAGCACGAAGCAGCTGTTCCCACTGCTAATTAGTAAACTGCTAATTGTAGCCTTTCCCCCAACCCCTCGTTAGCATCTTCCTTCCCCCTTACAGATGACTGCCAGCATCCCAGGCTAGGCTTTCTTTTTCCAGGGAACACTCTGGATCAGAAAGCATGGATGGAAATTGATGGGTTATCATACATAATTGAGAACCAGATTAAATATGGACCCATCCCCAAGTCCATTTGGCTTGAAGAAACTGTCCCTTGCCATCAAGAAATTTATATTCTACTGTGTATGACCTTTCTCCCAGTGTATGCTGCTGGTAAAGCTGCCACCTCCGGAGTCCCAAGCATTTACGCACCCAGCGTCTACGCACCCAGCACCTATGCTCACCTCTCTCCAGCCAAGGCTCCTTCCCCTCTACCCATGATCCAAATGGCTCCTGTCCACAACGGCTTCGCAGGGGATTTTGACCAACAGAGCTCAGGTGAAGACTGGGGAAAGCAGATGCCTTTATGTGTTAGGAGAAGGGTTTGGGGCATAGATTGGGTCCTTGGGGACAGGACTTTGATGAGGGGGACAGAATAAGCTGAAGATCTAGGTCTCTGGGAAGGCTATGAGGACAAGATGCCCAGGTCTCAGGGTGATGGGGTGGAAGAAGGGTGATAGGAAGATTGGGCAGAGGGCAGCTGGATCCTGACCATATTTCTCCTGCAGTTGGTGGCCACAGCTCCCAGGTGCCCCTTCTCCATGACACAGACAGTACCAGAAACTCAGGTGAGAGTCAAACGTTCAGGTATCAGGGGGTAGGGATGACACTGGGGTGTGAGACCCAAGGGAAAGAGCCTCTGCCATCACATCTCCCTGCTCACCCCCACAAACTCCTCCCCTGCCCTTTAGAAGTGCGAAGTGGTTATCGCATCCAGGCAAACCAGCAGGATGATTCTATGAAGGTGTTGTACTACATGGAGAGGGAGCTTGCTAACTTTGACCCTTCCCGACCTGGCCTGCCTAATGGCCGTGTGGAGAGGGGTGAGTTGTTTGGGAGTGGTGGGGCGGGGATTGGGATCCCTAGTCCTAGGGAGGGGAGGCTTGGGTCCCCTCTGCCCACACTACTGATGCTGTCTAACCCCTCTCCTTCTAAACCCCCCATCTGTCCTTGCCCTTCTAGCCATGAGTGAAGTGACTTCCCTTCACGAAGATGACCGGAGCTTCCGGCCCCACCGAGGCCCTGCCCTCACCCCAATCCGAGATGAAGATTTGGACTATCGCTCCCAAAGAAGCCCAGGATGGGAGCCCGGGCGAGAACGAGAACGTCCCCGGGATCAGAGCGGGGGCTGGGGAGCCAGGCGGCCCCGAGCCCACTCCGTGGATGCCCTGGATGACTTGGGCAGGCCCAGCTCCGTGGAATCGGGAAGGACATCCCCTTCAGAAAGGAGCCGGGGCCGGGCTCATGCACCCCCTCGAAGCCGCAGCAGAGATGATCTCTACTCCCAGTCTGGAGACCCCTACTACGATGATTACAGGTCCCGGGGCAGACCCCTGTTTGATGCCCGTCAGGACCCACACCGGAGCCACAGCCGGTCCCGAGACCCCGAGTATGATGGGCGGTTCTTGGAAGATGTACTGAGAAAAAAGGAGGTGGGGGAGAGGAGGCGACCCCCGAGGGAAGAGGAGGAAGAACCCTATTACCCTCCAGCCCCACCTCCCTACACCGAGACGGAGTCACAGTCTTCCCGAGAGAGGAGGCTCAAGAAGGTGAGTGGTCCCTGGGCTGGTCTGGCTCGGGGAGGGGGAGGGGGTGGGGGCGGGACTAGGTCCGAGCCCTCAACTGCTCTCCTTGTTCCCACAGAACCTAGCCCTGAGCCGGGAAAGCCTGGTGGTCTGACCCGACGCGGTTCTCCTCGACTTTTGTAGTTTTTGTATGTTTTTTTAAATGTGTCTGGGGTGGGGCAGGGGAGGGGAGTCTCTTCTGATTGCGCTCAATAAAGTTTTTAACCACTTGGCTCGGTTCTCGCTGTCTCGTTTTGGGGCCTGGCGGAGTGGGGAGGAGAGGGCAGGGAAGGTCACAAGGGAGATGGACCAGCTGCTTGGGGTTCCAGCGCCCGGACCCTGGCTTCGATCCCGACCCGCCCGGGCCTCTGGGAACAGCCCGTTCCGGCTTCGCCCCGGCCCCGCCCGCTGCGTGCGCGCCGCGGCCCCGCCCAGACGTGCGCATGCGCCTCGTGCATTCCCTTCACAACACTTCACCCCCTCCATGAACCCGCGCGCGCGCCCCTAGACCCTCCAGACCGACCCCTTTCAAGTCCACTACCCTTGTCCCCAAACCCGAGCCCCTCCGTGCCCTCGGCCCCTCCCAGCCGTCGGAGCGTGTGCCTCGGCCCGCAGCCTCCGCCACGTTCCACCGCATCCCTCCGCAACGTTCCATCCAGGCCCGCGTTCCATCCGTGGAACGTAGTGTATCCCCTTCAGCCCCTGGTGCCTCGGCCTTCCTAGCCGCCCCCCACCGCGCCAAGGCCTGGGCCCCCACCGCGGCTCGGGCGGGAGCGCGCAGCGGCGAGAAGCGGGGCCCGCGCCGAGGCCCAGGCCGGCGCGCTCCCGGCCCGTCGGAGCCAGGCAGAGCGCGCGCGCGCGCTCCCCAGGGCGGCCTGCCCCCCCCCCTCCAGCCCCCGCCCGCGTCGGCTCCGGGCTCGCGCCGCCGCCGCCGCCGCCGCTGCGCGCGCGCAGCTCTTGCAAAGAAGGGGAAAAAGGGGGAAAAATAGAAAGCGGCGGTAGCAGCGAGCGATCGGCGGCCGTGCGGGGCCGGGGCCGCGGAGCAGCCGGGCGGGAGGAGCGGGCTGTGAAAAGCGAGCGCGGCGGGCGGGCGGGCGCGGGAGGGAGGCCCAGGCCCAGGCCGCCGCTTCCCTGGGCCTGAGCCGGGGCCGGGCCGGGGCAGCCGTCGCCCAGGGCGGGCCGAAGCCGGGCGGGGAGCGGGGCGCGGGGCGCGGGACGCGGAGCAGCCGCTCCGGCCGCAGCCCCGGCAGCCCCAGCAGCCGCAGCCCCAGCAGCAGCCTCGGCGGCGGCGGCGGCGGCGGCATCTCCTCCTCACATGACCCCACTGTTTGTCCCCGTGATCAGCGCGAGCGGCTCCCGTGTCTCCTCCGTCCCCTCCTGCCGCGCGGCGTGAGCTGCGGGCTCGGGGCCCCCCCGGCCCCCCCCCCCCCCCCCTGGACATGCTGGACCCGGGTCTGGACCCCGCTGCCTCGGCCACCGCTGCTGCCGCCGCCGCCGCCGCCGCCGCCAGGTAAGGGCCCCGAGCCGGCCCCCGGGCGGGCCATGCTCCGGAGCGAGCTCACGCCGGCCGGCCGGGCCGTGTACAAGATGGAGGCCGCGGGCGGGCGGGGGGTGCAGGGGAGACCCCTCCGAGCCCGGCGGGGAGGGGGTTGCAGGGGAGATCGCCCCTCCGCTCCCGGCAGGGGGCGGCCGCCGCTCCCCCCGCAGGGCTCGGGCCGGGGGGGCGGGGTCCCCGCGGGGCGCGCGCTGCCCCGGCCCCCCCGCTGACCGCTGCCTCCGCGCCCCCGCAGCCACGAGAAGGGACCCGAAGCGGAGGAGGGCGTCGAGCTCCAGGACAGTGAGTGGGGGCTGGCGGGGGGCGCCGGGGAAAGCTGGGCGCAGGGAGGGGGGCGCCCCGGGAGCTGAGCCGGCCTCTCTTTGCCCCCAGCCGGGGAAGGGCCCGGGGCCGAGGAGCAGACCGCGGTGGCCATCGCCAGCGTCCAGCAGGCGGCGTTCGGGGAGCACAACATCCAGTACCAGTTCCGCACAGAGAATAATGGAGGACAGGTGAGGGAGGGGCGGTCTGCGCGGCGGGGTGGTCGGGGGGGTGGGGGGGGGTGCCCTGGTGCAGCCGGGGCCGGTCCACCCGGACCTCACCTCGACCAGGGCTGACTCGGTGCCCTCTGCTGCCCCCTGCAGGTAACATACAGAGTGGTCCAGGTGACGGACGGCCAGCTGGATGGCCAGGGAGACACCACGGGCGCTGTCAGCGTGGTGTCCACAGCCGCCTTCACCGGGGGGCAGCAGGCAGTGGCTCAGGTCAGCTGCGAGGGGGAGCAAGGCTGCCGGGGCGGGTGGGGTCCGGGGAGGGGTCTGGGGAGGGGTCCGGGGAGGGGCTGGAAGGCCTGGCCGGAGCCGCCGTCTCTGGCCCAGAGCCTTCTAGACTTGTCCCAGCGACCCCGCCCCCGGGATTCTGGAGCCTGGATTGGAACCCGGGTTCTCTGACCCTCTGCCCTCTCCCTGCCCACCCTTCCATCGAGGTGGGGGAGCCAGAACAGGAGGGGAGATGACCCCTGCCCAATAGAGCCCCAAAGCTGAGGACTGGGAGGCAGGGTACCCTCAGGACACTAGTGGCACTTTGAGAGGGAGAAACAAGGGCGGCAGAATACAGGGCTGGGAGGGCAGTGGGAAGGGAGGGGAGGATGGGGAGGCAGCTGTCTGGTTGTTACCTCCGTGGGGGCAGGGGAAATGACTGGAGAAGAGATGACCAGTGGGGCAGGGTGAGCATCTGCCCGTCCTCGCTCTCATCCCTTAGGCCGTGATCCAGAACCCTTTCAGCAATGGGGGCAGCCCTGCGGCAGAGGCGGTCAGTGGGGAGGCCCGCTTTGCCTACTTTCCAGCATCCAGTGTAGGGGATGCCACGGCTGTGTCCGTGCAGACCACGGACCAGAGCCTTCAGGCAGGAGGTATGGAGCCTGGGCCGGGAAGGCCCAGAGGATTCTGGGCATGGGGGAAAGAACATTGGGAAAAGAGACTGGGGGGAGTGATCACAGGGCAATGGAAAGAAACATCTGTAAGGACTCCTAGTGAGTGGGGGGCGGGGAGGGAAGGAAATAAGCTTTTATAGGGAGGTAGGTGCTGTTATTCTTCACGTTTTACAGTTGGGGAAACCCGAGGCAGGCAGAGGTGAAGTGACTTGCCCAGGGTCACACAGCTAGGAAGTTCTGAGGCTAGGTTTGAACTCAAGGCCTCCTGATTTCAGATTCAGAGCTCTCTTCACTGCACCACCTAGCTGCCTTACAACTGTATCACAAGAAGAGACTGTAATTCAACCTCCTCATGTTTCAAATGAGGAAACTGAGGCCCAGACAGGTGTGTCAGCAGAGCTGACCAGCTCCTAGGGGTAACCTCTAACCCCGACCCCAACCCTGCCTCTCCTAGGCCAGTTCTACGTGATGATGACGCCTCAGGATGTGCTGCAGACGGGAACGCAGAGGACGATTGCTCCTCGGACCCACCCGTATTCTCCGTAGGTGCCGGCTGCTTGGGTGCCGAGGGGAGCTGAGGCTGGCACGACCGGATTCCTTGAATCCAGGAATGAGGGCAGGGAGAAGGGCTGACAGCTGTTTGCAGAGGGACAGGTGTGTGTTTCCTCTCTTCTTCCAGGAAAATGGATGGGACGAGAACCCCCCGAGATGAGAGGAGGAGAGCCCAGCACAATGAAGGTGAGGGCAAAGGGTCCCTGTCTGTCTGTCAGGTTGTGGACTGCGGTCTCCCCTCCTCACTGCCCCTCAGCAGAGCCCGTCTAGGGTGCTGGGGTAAGGGGGGTGGATTTCGGGTCACTTGGCATGGTGGGAGGACAAAGCTGGGGAATCTGGGTGGGAGGGGGCTGAGGCCGGGATGGGAGAGAGAGCCCAGGGAGCCGTGGGGCTAGCGCAGCCAGGCCTCCGGCCAGTCAAACCTTTCTGGAGCGCCGATTCTCCTGTTCCAGCTCAGAAAGTGACAGGGCCTCCCTGTGGTTCCCCCTGTCCTGGCAGCCAGGCCCCGCAGAGCCGAGCCTGCCGGCTTTCTCTCCAGGATCCCCCGTAGCAGCCGTCTGCTGCGGGCAGGCCTCCCCCACCCCAGGGAAGGATCTTAGAAATCCTCGGTCCGCTCGAGGAGGACCGCAGTGCTGACCTCTGCCCCGAGCCCGCTTCACCCTTCGAGGCCAGCTGAAGGCCCCCCACCCCTTCCTGAAGTCATTCCTGATGATATCGTTAGCTCCACCCTGACCTTTCCCTTTATGCTTGGAAGCTCCTTGTGTGGTGCTCCCCAGCCTCAGTAGGTGCTCATTGACCACTCTGCGGAGGTCATCGCTGCCCGGTGGAGTGGGGGGCGAGGAGGGGGGTGGATCGTCTTCTCTGTCTTTCGCCCCCATCACCGAGTGCTCATGGAGCCCTCCCGGGTGGGAATTCCTTCCTCCCTGCAGTGGAGAGGAGGCGGAGGGACAAGATAAATAACTGGATCGTTCAGCTCTCCAAGATCATTCCAGACTGTAACACAGACAACAGCAAGACGGGAGCGGTGAGTGCTGTCCCTGCCCCGCCCCCATCTTCGTGCCCCTATCCCTCGGGCTCGTCCTAGTAGCCAGAATTAAGGTTTGCGGAGTGCATGGTTGGGGACTACATTCCCTCAGGCCCTTGGGGTGGACCGTTACCTGGATGTGGTCAGTCTCTGCCTCAGGAGGGCAGGAGAGGAAGTTTACCCAGGACCTGAGGGGCTGCAGGGCATAATGAGGGCCCCAGAGGAGTGGCCCCTGGGAGGGGGGGATGAGGGACCCTGCCAGGCTCGCCTGGTCCCGGGGCTTCCCGCTACCTGCTCTTAGCCACGTTGCCGTCTCTGCCTTTATGCCCTTCAGAGCAAGGGAGGGATCCTGTCCAAAGCCTGTGACTATATCCGCGAGCTCCGTCAGACTAACCAGCGGATGCAGGAAACTTTCAAGGAAGCCGAGAGGCTACAGATGGACAATGAGCTCCTGAGGCAGCAGGTGAGCCGTGCAGGGCCCGCAGATCCGGGATGGGCAGAAGCCTTGGGCGGGGTGGTGGAGACACTGAGAGGCTTCCCCCTCCTGGTGGGGGTGGAGAAAGTAGGAAGCTGGGGTGTTGGGCGCCAGCCACCTGCCTCAGCCTCTCCCTTCCGTCCCCCCGGCCAGATAGAGGAGCTGAAGAATGAGAACGCATTGCTCCGCGCCCAGCTGCAGCAACACGGCCTGGAGATCGTCGGGGAGACGTCCCGGCAGTGATGCCCTTCCCCGCCCCTTTCCCCCCCGGTTTTCGGGGACGGGGTTCTGGCCCCCAACCCTTAGCACAGAGAGGGAGACGGTCTTCCCCCTCCCCCAGCTGCATTTTTTATAGTAGATTTTTAACAAAAATGGGGAGAAAAAAGCATTTCCATGAATACAGCACCCCCACCCCCACAACAAAAACAAGCCCACCGACATGCCCACCTTTTCCCATCTCTGTCTGTTTTCTCTGACTCACTCTCTTTTCCTCTCCTCTCCCCTGATGCCTTCACTTTGATTCAGTCATGCCACCTAATGGCTCCTGCTGGGCTTCCCTTTCCTGCCTTCGCCTTGGTAGAGGGGGGCAGGACACAAGGAGAGAGATCCCTTATTCGTCCCCTGGACCCTGTCCTGCTTCCCTCTCTCTCTCTTTCCCTGGAGGTACAGAGACAGAACTGCTAAGAAGAGGGGATGCCTTTGGGGGGGGCCACCCCATGGCTAGGGGCTCTTTGGACTCGTGCTCCGGCCTTCCCACCTCCCCAGCTCACTTCCCGACACCCTTACCCCTTCTTTGGGTGTGTGTGTGTGTTTTAATTTCTTTATGAAAAAAAAAAAAAAGACCAAAAAAAAAAAAGAGAAGAGAAAGGTATTTAAACTGCAATAAACTGGCCTGTGCGGCCCCCGCCTCAGCTGTTGGTGTCCCTTCCTTGATCCATCCTTGGGCGGAATAGCCGTCCTCTTTATGGGAGAGGGGGAGCGAGGGCCGGGATATGATGGGGTGAAGGACAGGGCTTAGTGTTAGTAAGAGAAGGCTCAGGCTGATTCCAGGGCTGTGGTTCAGCCCCCACCCTCACCCAGAGGCAGTAACTCTGGCCTTGAGCCCCCCTCCTTACGGAAAGGGGAGGGGAGGGATGATTCCCAGCTTGGCCCGTCTTTCTGTCGCCTAGGGCCCCAGCTCTGGCGCCTCCACCGTGACCCCTGCCCTCTGCCCTGCTGATGATGAAATCTGCCCTGAGGTGGTGGGACAGGCCAGACCGGGAGGGGAAGGGGTGGTCTCTGGTAGCACCCATTACTTGGTGTTCCATCCTCATCCGTGAACTTGCCTCCCACCATTGTACCCCCAGATCCATTTGCCTTATCCTCTATGCCATCAGCTGCCCTGGAGTGTCCCGTGACCCCTGGGCTGTGTGGCCTCCCTCCCTGGCCTGTGTCACTAGGGTCATTGCCCCAGCCCCGGACGGGTGGCGAGGAATCTGGCGCCTTTCAGTCTACCTGGATGTGGGGGGAGTTGGGGCCAACCTGAGCAAACAGGCCAGGTGGGGGGGGGCAGGCACCGAGCAAAGTGGCCTTCGTTTTCTTGGGGGGCCATCTGGGCAAAGACCCGCTCTCCTCTGCTGGTTGCCATATGGGAGTCTGGATTTGGGTTTGGAACAGTCCTATCAAGTAGCCCTCATTTTCACTTGAGGAAAGGGGCTCGGAAGTGAATTGACTGAGGTCTGAGATGGGAGAGTGTGGATTGGGGAGGGATGAGGGCACAGAAAACTTACTTCACTAACACCCTTCCTCAGTAATACTTCACATTCATCCAGTACTCTAAGGTTCCAAGTGCCCCTGGGAAATAGGTGATGCAGATGTCTGTTTACAGAAGAGACCGAGGGTCAGAGAGGTTTAGAGTGTCACATATGATGTCGAGCTAAGAAGCATTTATTAAGCGCCTATTTCATGCCTGGCACGTAAGCATGTCATGTCCCGCCAGCATTTTTCTTTCCAACACCCCTGCTTGCTAGACTCAAACCCAACACCAGAAAGAGAACTTGTCATTTCCCCCCCACCTCCTCAAACCATCCCTGTTCCCTATTTGCGTTCCCTCCAGTTAAGACCTCAACTCTGTACTCTGTGCCTCATGTCCACTCAGTTGCCAGAAACCCATTAGATTGGAAGCTCCTTAAAGGCAGAGACCGTCTTTTGCCTCTTTTTGTATCCCCAGCGCTTAGCATGATGCCTGGCACACCGTAGGAGTTTAATAAATGTTTTCTGACTGATGGATTTGTATTCAGATGCCCACAGTTTGAGTCCCAGCTTTGCCACTTGGTTTGTCTTGGCCTTGGCTTCTTTGTCCATAAGAGAAGCAGAGTGGACCAGGGTTCCTTCCCCCTCACGCCGCCATCACCGGCATTTAGGGCCTCCTTCCCTCTCTTGCTGGCTCTGTTACCATTCCCTCCTAATCGTTACCCCTGCCTCCAGTCTCCTCTTCAAACTGTCCTCCATCCCGGCCGCCAAATGGATATTCTTAAAACACACTGTCCCTGCCCTGTGCTACGAGTTCTAGTGACTCTAAATGTTTGTCTACACATTCTACTATCTAAACTGCACTACCGGCTGTTCCCAATACAGGCCATCCCAATGTAATCTCCCCTCTCCCTGCCTTGGCACAGACTGTCTCCAATGCTTGGCATGGTCTTTTTCTTCATGTCTACCTGATCAACCCAAGGCCCTCCTTCTACAGGACACCTTCCCTGACCTTTGAAATTCAGGGCTCCATTGCTCTGAAATCATTTTGGGTTTCTTATTCATTATGTGTGTGTGTGTGTGTGTGTGTGTGTGTGTGTGTGTGTGTGTGTGTAACTGTAGAACATGTTTTCCCCCAGTAGAACAGAAACTCTTTGAAGGTAGCAGCTGTTTTGTTTTGCTTTTTGGCCTTTCTAGAAACTAAGTTAGTGCCTGGCATATAGTAAATGCTTAATAGATGTTTGTAGAATTAAGTGATTTATCTAGCTAGTCAATGTCAGAACCACCAGGATTCAAACCCAGGCCTTCAGAGTCCAAATCCATCAATCTTTCTATTTACAGTATTTACACTCATTGACTAACTAAACCTGACCCCGGGGACCCCAGAGGGAGGACTGGTGTGAGGAGGGGTAAGGATAAGGGGGTCATCTTCTTATGAGGGGTGAGGATGGAACAGTCACCTCGGTGCTTAGTTAGGAAAGGCTCTGTGGAGGAGAGGGATGGAATGGAGGGGAGAGGGATGAACAGCTTAGCCAAGGGATTTCTCTGGCTGAGCTCCTGGGGAAGCTGAACCTGTCGTAAGCTCAGTGAAAGACCCAGAGATTAGTCAGAAGAACTTCCTCTAGTCCAAAGCCCTTTCACAGATGAGAACACTGAGGACCCAGATAGGAAGTGACTTGTTGAAGATCGCGGCATCAGAGGTAGGGTTTGGACCCCAGACCGCTGACTCCCAGTGTAGGGCGCTCCCCCCCCCCCCCGCCCCGTGCCAATGTGAGCCTGTGAGTCTGTCTTTCTAGGGCTCTGGTGCCATGTGTGTGACCCTGACTGCCCCACCCCCAATACACACCTCCTCCGGGCTGTGGGTGACTCAATCATTTGTTCCCCGGGGCTGTTTTCCCGCTTATCTCTCTCCCACCCTTTGATGACACCACCTTCTTGGAAAGTAAGTTGGGCCAAAGGGGAGGGGGCTTGGGCCTCGAGCCTCATAAAAGTGCCGGGCTTGGGAGGCCGGACAGAGCCCTGAGCTAAGCAGACATACAGATATGGCACTGACCACTCAAATCCAGACTGCCTTTCTCTTCCTCCTCCTCCTCTCTAACTTTGTCTGTCCTTCTGTTCTCCCAAGAAAGGTAAGAGCCCACGGGCGCCTGGCCCCGGGAGGGGAGTGGGATTGGAGGGCCAGATACCTAGACTGGATGGGTGGCTGGGGGGGGGGGTCTCCCGAGGCCAGATATCTGGGTGTTGGGAGGTAAAAAGGAGGGTGTGTTCTGCACATAGGACAGACTGTAGGAGAGAAGAGAGGGGATGTGTGTGTGCGTGTGTGTGTGTACTTTGATGGGGGCTCCGGGCTGGGATCTCCTTCCTCAAGATCTGGGGGTTCTTCACAGACTCAGGACCTTGAGCAGATCCCCCTCCAGGAGGCAGCTCCAGCTCATAATGACTTGATGGTGAGTGATTTCCCCAAGAATGGCAGCCCATGCCCCCCGCGCCAGTCCCACTCTTCGGCTCCTCAGCCCCATCCATCCACTGACCTCCTCTTTTTCCCCCCCGGCAGCCCCTGCTTCAGAGGACAAAGAGATTCGACAGCCACTTTCCCATCTGCTCATACTGCTGTAATTGCTGTCGCAACGCAAAATGCGGCTTTTGTTGCCGTGTGTGACCCGAGCCCCTCGATGGTGTCATCTCCCTCTTCCCAAGTTCCCTTTCCCACTTCATTTTCTAATTTATTCCCTCCCCCTCTGTCCCTTCCTGTTGTGACTGTCTCAAAATAAAATGGTATGTTTTCCCCAAAAAACTCCAGCGTTTTTTCCTTTTTCGAAAACGTCAACTCCTTAATTTCGTCTCACCCTCCAAGCGCCCATCAGAGTCCTGGAGCTTCCTTCCCTGTCCTCTTGTCAGCTCTCTGAAGAGAAAACAGCGAGAGGGGTGCAGGCGGCAGGAGGAGAGGGTGTACTCCATCTCAGCCCCCACCCCACCCCAAATGTAAAGTTTCAGTTCTAGCAGGAGGGCCGGGAGGTGGAGGGGGGGAGACCTTCCCTGGTCATTCTTGGCAATGAGGTCTTTGCACCTGTGTGTTGGGAAATGGGCCATCTTTAATGGAGGCAAGGGCATGAAGCGGAGAAATAACTATCCCAATGGAAAAGGTCCAACTCTGGGCCTTGGGCCCCCCAATATGCCACTGGTTCCTCCTCTGGACTCTACCTTCAGCTCTCCAGCCCCTTCTACCTTGACCTTTCCCTACTCCCTAAACTTTCTGGGTCACTAAACCAGGCCTCCTTCCAGTATTCTGAGCACAGTAAATCCTTGTCACCCGCAGGATGACCGCCCATCTTCCCCTCAGTTCCCACCTCCCCACTGCAGCCACGATTTTTGGGAGGCCTGCGCTTAAGAGCCATTTCCATCTTTCTCTTCCACCTTCTGTCTCCACAACAACAGATCACAAGGGTCTGGTGTTTTCTATAGTGTATTAATAAGGGAGCCGGGCCCAAGCTTCTTGAGTTCCTCCCTGGCCCAGGGAAGATAGAGACTTTTTATTCCCCTAACTAACGTTCTCGGTGGTCCCCAGCCCTGGACCTGATGGATTCAGCTCAGTGGCTCATTCTTCTCATCCTGGGCTCGCTGTCAGCCAATCAGGAAGTGGCTTCACAGAGCCCTCCTGCACTCTCCTGATAGAGTGGATGTGACTGGCTTCCTAAAGGTTGGACAATGGGCAATGGATGCTGGTTTGTCCTCCTGAGCTGGTAAAGGACTAGACGATTGGCCTGGGGACAGGCTGTGTCTCTGTCATCCAACCTCACAGTGGGTTGCTCACTAGAAGGCGGGTGCCCAGATGAATACATGGCCCACCCCGATTTTCTACCATCTACAGAGATGGTAGGAAACACGGTAGATCTTGCTTATAATCACACACTTTAAGACCATTTACTAATGAGGGTGTGGAATAGTGAAAAGAATGGGGGATCTGGAGTCAGAAGTCTTGGGTTCAAATCCTGACTCTTCGATTTCCTACCTATATGACCCTGGATGAATCAGTTCTCTGGGCCTCAGAATCCTCCTGTAGAGTGATCGGTTGGACCAAATGACTCCCAAGGTCCTTTTCAGTTCTCAAGTGATAACTCCTTAATCTCATCTTCCTGGGCCTCTATTTCTTCAGTCCAGCCTCAGACACTTACTAGCTGTGTGACCCTGAGCAAGTCACTGCACCCTCTTTGCCCCAATTTCCTCATCTGTAAAATGAGCTGGAGAAGGAAATGGCAAACCACTTCAGTATCTCTGCCAAGAAAATCCCAAAATGGGGTCATGAAGGGTAGGACATAGTTGAAATGACTGAATAACAAAAATAGTTACTTTCTGGGGGCCCTTCTTGCTCTAGACCCACCATTCTAATTCTATTTCTCTGGGCAGGCGTTTTATAACCCCTGTTAGACTGTAAACTCCTTGAGGGTAGAGACCCATTATCTTCATATTTTATCGAAGCCTGGTGCAGTGTATTACTGACCATACTAGGCACAGATAAAGGTCTGTTGAAAGCAAACCTTCCTTGTTAACCGAGGCACAACTAGAGAAACCTGTCTCTAGGCCCTTGGTATCGTCCATGAAACGCGGTCATATGTTGGTGTGTTTTCCAATGTGAGCAAACAGGTGCTACCTTAGAAGGTCCGCCTGATGGGAAATGAGAGTGAAAGCTGCTACCTCTGTCTGGGAGCTGAGCTGATAAGCCTGGTCAGGAGGGCCCAACGTCTCCTTTCTCCTCCTTCACTCCTCAGCACCCCAGACTGAGAGTCAGAGGTCCTGGGTTCAAACCCTACCTCTGCTGCTGTGATCTTAAACAAGTCACTTCCCAAAAGCTCAGTCCACAATAATTCAGGGGATGAGCAAACATCATAGCTAGCACAGCTCAAAGGAATATGGAATCAGAGCTGCTGGAAGGTCATTTTATTTTACAGATGAGGAAACTGAGGCCAATGGAGGAGAAATTACTTATCAAGGGCACACAGGTTGTTAAATCCAGGATTCGAACCCTGGTCCTCTGACCCCAAATACAGCACCCTTTCCACAACCTCTGTCTTACCTTTTTTTCTCCACCCGATCTCTCCACCTCCCAGGACCCTGGCATCTGACTCCCCAGTTCTGCTCCCCTCAGGGACCCAGACTATGACCCCCTCTCCCCTTCTAGGGCATGGGAGTTCATCCCCACCCCCTCCCCAGTTGCTTCCTCAATGGGCCTTTGTCTCAGTCTCGGGAAAGGCACGGGCAGCGTCTGACATCATGGAGCCGGAGGTGGGGTGGCAGGACCGGTTCCTCCCCCCCAACCATCTCCTTTACCCCCGGGTATTTCCCCACCCCTCACTCAGGGATTCCCTCTTGGGGAGATGGCATCCCTCCTCCCTCCCTGACTTTGGGGTGGGTGGGCAGGACGGAAAAGCTGGAGTGTTCATACGGCTTATAAATCCTGCAGTATATCCACGAAGCCCAAAGAAGTGCATGGCTGGCAGGCTGCCTGGCATCCTGGCCACTGGGATTGGAGTCCCAGAGCCTCATACAATGATAATTACCTCTACGGTGGCCCCCATTTCAAAGGCTTGAGTTGGGAAGCCAGCTTTGGAGGGGGGATAACAAAACTGGTCAACATTCTCGTAGTGTGTCAAGGTTTGCAAAGCACTTCGCACACACAGTATCATTTGCTCCTCATAACAACAGCCTTGGGAAGGATCTCCATTTTACAGATGGGGAAACTGAGGTTCAAGAGCCAGGTCTGACCTGAATCCAGGTCTTTCTCTACTCCAGGTCCAGTGTTCTTTCTACTGCCCCAACACAGCCTCTCACAGGGGAAGGCAGCTAACATGGCAGGCGATGAGTACTCCTTTTCCCCAATAAAGTCACTGCTAGGTTCTCGCCCATACCTCTTTAGAATGGCGGTGACAGAGGCTTCTGCCCAGAGAGGTCCCTTGGCCTTGGGAGCAGCTATGAGGGCTGCAGCCTGCTAAGGATTTCACTGGGGAATGAGGTTCCAGAGGGGGAGGAGCGAGGGAGAAACAGGAAAAGCCTATAAGCCATCCTCTCCTCCACACATCCCTACACTCATGTAGGACCTAGGCATCCGGCAGCCCGGCCTGAGCGCCAGCTGTGACAAGGGCCCTTTTGTGCCCCCCCTTCCCTGGGCAGGGAGGAGCTGGGTGCTGGAGGCAGGCGGCCCCTGGCACCCTGGGTGTATATGTGTGTGTGTGTGTGTGTGTGTGTGTGTGTGTGTGTGTGTGTGTGTGTGTGTGTATGTGGAGGAGAAGAGGAAGGGCTGGTCCTCGAAGGCCTAGACCCTGAGACAGGGGAGGGGGAACTGGATGGGTGGACAGGCTGAAACTGAGGGGACAGGAGAGAGGTCAGCGCAGTGAATCCTGAAGGCAAGGGAGCAGGGGCTGGGCAGGGCTGGATTCATTAGGCTGGGAGTGAGGGTGAGGGGTTGGGGGTGGGGAGCTGGTGAATAACAACGGTTCCCAGTAAGCTGAGGGGGATTGAGGGATGGGGGCTAACAAGCCAATGGGATGCTTGGGCCAGGACCCAGTCTGAATCTTGGGGGGGTGGGGGGAATGTTTTCGGATGCCTGGGCTTGGATACGTGTTTCTGCCTCCACTCATGACTATGTCCGAGTAACTCTGTCTCTGTGTGTCTGTGTCTGTGTCTTCGGGGATTTGCACATGTGAGTGTGTCTTCGAATCTGTCTCTGCGCTTATTTTTCTGTGTTTCCAGGAGGGTGAGTGTTTCCTCTGTTCCAGGCACCGGGCTAAGGGCTGGAGTGGGGATATTTCCTGTGTCGTTCTGTGGATGTCTGTGCGTGTATGAGCTGTCTCTCCACGTGTCTGTCTCTGTACGTGTGTGTGGGTACATAAGAAGGGTGGGAAGAGGGGTTATAGTTATAATGGGAAGACCACAGAATGTGGGTTTGAATTTTGGCTCTATTACTTACTAGCTCTGTGCCTCAGTTTCCTCTTTGGTAAAATGAAGGGGTCTCTTCCAGCTCCAAATGCTATCACCATAGGACATGGCAGAGTTTAGGAAAGGGGACATCAGGAAGTCCAACCCCAGGGACTTGCTACCCCCAGGGAAACAGCCATGTTCCACTCATCAGTGCCGGGTGTGGGGAAGAAGTGCTTTCTTTCTCACACACCTCCTATCCCAGAAGCCCCCAGGGGCAGAGGGGGTAGCTGAACCCCCAGAGGGAACAGCACTCCTTTGTGCCCGGGCCAGGGGCCAGGCCTTAGCTGGGGGGTGGGGACACCGGGGTCCGTGGGGAGGCAGAAGGCGGCAGGAATGCTCCCGGCATTTGGGGAATGTCAAGTTCGTGAAACGGAGTCATTGACGGGATGGTCTCCGTGGACCCAGGGCCCCACTCCCTCGCGTCTCCCGGGTCCCACCTCACCTCCCACCACGGGGGTTGTAGGACTTCTCCTCCCGTGCTCCCACACCCCCCAGTCAGAACTGGAGCTGCTCTCCTTCCCTCTTGCCTCCCCCGTGGCCCCCTCCCGTCCAGTCGGAGCTGCAGGGTCTCCCCTGCTCTGGCTTCCTCACGCCGTCGCCTCTCCCCTCTCCCTCCCACCTGGGGGTGTCCCCAGGACTCTCCCTGGTGTTTGGGGAGGTGGGGGGGGGGAGCGAGTGCTGTCATGATGCAGGAAACTCTTTCCACCCCCTCGCCACAGCCCCAGCTGTTGCCAGCACTGATGAGGGAATGTGTGTGGGGGCCCCAGGCGTCCAGGCACATACTATGGGCCAGGGGAGAGGTAGCCGGCCACCAGGTCCCAT